CCACAGTGGAGAAAAGAGTTTGTGTGAACTTTAATGTAAGGACTTAAATATTCATATGTAGCTCACATTAAGCTATCGTATGGCTTCAGAAGTAACACAGAATAATTCGCACAATCGGGAAAAAAAAAAATCTCGGATTTGGATCGGCCCTCTCTGACCGATACCCGATATGAATATCGGATCGGCGCATCCCTAAGCATAACAGTCATTGGTTATTTTGTATATTGTCCTTTTTTATCAGTTTTATTATTATTATTATTTTCGCACGTCCACTGATAAAAGGATTTTCAGAATTTTAAAAACCATGCAGATTCATGAGAATTGCTGTGCACATTGTGTTTAGATTTGTTTATTTTCAATTCAGTCAATGATGTTATTTTAGGGTAGTTGACGTGACGTCAAACAGTGGCAGCAGTGTCCTGATACGTGACATGCTGTAGGCCTGCTTCATCTAAAACTATTAAATCGTCTCATTCTTGTATAATGACTGTGCACGCAGGTCCTGTGACCTCTGTACATTTACGTTGTGTCTGTCTGTCTCTGTCTGGTGCAGTGAGCCTCATGCCCGATTCTACGCCGCCCAGATAGTTCTGACCTTTGAATACCTTCACTCACTTGATCTAATCTACCGAGATCTGAAGCCTGAAAACCTGCTCATAGACCAGCAGGGCTACATACAGGTAAACACGCAGGGTTTAAAACCAGATGACTTCATGAAATGCCATGATAGCAGCTCCAAGAATGTCACATGACTGCAAAGAGTATACCTGCCTTGTGTTTGAGTGTCTCTTTAAGACCATCCAGGCTCATTCACAGGTTTTCACAAATGAATACATGCAATATTCATTCTTGCTGTTTTCTCAGGTAACAGATTTTGGATTTGCTAAACGTGTAAAGGGCAGGACCTGGACACTGTGTGGCACACCCGAGTACCTGGCGCCAGAAATCATCCTCAGTAAAGTGAGTACCGAAGCTGCATTACTTGTTTTAACTGCAGTTTAAGCCATTTCAGTATAACTCCTGCTCTCTCTGTCTCTCAGGGTTATAATAAAGCAGTGGACTGGTGGGCTCTGGGAGTGCTGATCTATGAAATGGCTGCCGGTTACCCTCCGTTCTTTGCCGACCAGCCCATCCAGATCTACGAGAAGATTGTTTCTGGGAAGGTGAGCGCTGTGAGAGATTATCACATTTTTTGGTGCTGGATGTCATAGTGCAGTGGCCACTCTGCACTGCACACGCGTGTCAGTGGTGCTGTTATAATCTAAACCGGTGTTGTTTCATTGCTTGAAATAAAGCTGAAATATTAGATGGAAAAACTTGCTTGGGCGACTGTCTGAAATAAAAATAAAAATAAAGCTAAATAATTATATAAAAAACGTAATAACTAATGTAATAAATATTTAAATTTAAGGTACACACACACACACACACACATATATATATATGAAAGCTGATTCAAAATATTAATACTACAAAATAATAAACAAAATAAATACTGAAACGTCTTGTGTCTTTTAATGTTTTTATTTGTGGTTTTGGTAACAGAGCAGGGTTATTATAGTTAACTGAAACTATTAAAACATAAATACAATAAAATAATTAAAACTTTAAACAAACATGAGAAATGTTGCCTTGACAACTAAATTAAATAAGTTTACATTGAAGCACTAAAAATACTAACTGTACATAAATAAAAACAAAAAATAAACCTAAATAATATTAAAAAACAAAACCAAATAAAAATCACAAAGGCACATAACAAAATTACAAAAATTTTAACTGAAAAAAAGTTATTCCAAAATTTTAATAAAAACTATGAGTATATAAATAATACTAAAAATGCTGACTTGAGCAATGGACGCAACCCGGAAAACTATCGGCATGGATTTTTGTCGATAACCGATAGTTCCAGCAATCAACTATCGGTGCCGATTAATCGGCAAAACCGATACATCGGTCGACCTCTAAAATTAACTATATATCAATCGCTGCAATTTTTTTTTCAGAAAGATGCAGTAGTAACCTTAACATTTTATTTTAAGATTTAACATTTGTAGATGATCTAAAGCAAAAGAGTTGTAAAAATTCTGAAAATATTTTAGATCTCATCATTTGTTTAAAAAAATATAACATATTACACTTTAATGAATAAATCAGTATAGGCTATATAAAATTATTTAATTTTAATTGTTTGTAATTTTTTTTATTCATGTAAGCTATAGCTTCTGACCTTTAAATCAAAACATACTCATGATTTTATGACATCAATTACTGCTTTATTTGGTCAGAAACAGTCTAAATGTTATTTGTGTATTTTACTTTCATTTGATTAAAAGTAGGCCAACAGCGTCCCCTACAGATTAAAACTCCTTACCGAACGGCATTAGAACCCGGGGGAGGCTGCCGCTGCACGTGCTATTACTGTTTACTCTATCATACACCGAAGTGTCATTCTGTACATGCTTCCACAGAGTAAATGCAGCGATCCAAAAGAGTGAATCTAATAATCATTCAGACAAAATTTTGCTTCAAAAATTAGTCACACTGCTGACGTGATCTAATTGCCAGCACACCCTGAGCACATGTGAGTTAATGTATTCCTCTTATCGGCAAGACATATCAGCATAAATTTTCATATCGGGCCGATGCCGATATTTACATTTAACGCCATTATCGGCCGATTCTGATATAGGTCCGATAATATCGTGCATCCCTAACATTGTGTTAATTTTTAGACCTTTCTGGTGTATTGGAACATGACATATTTGTAAAGGTGCTTGTGAATCCCAAACACTGACAGTGTGTATTAATCTTTCTCTAGGTTCGCTTCCCCTCACATTTTAGCTCTGACCTGAAGGACCTGCTGAGGAACCTGCTGCAGGTAGATCTGACGAAGCGCTTCGGTAACCTCAAGAACGGCGTCAACGACATCAAGGGCCACAAATGGTTTGCAACCACCGACTGGATTGCAATCTACCAGAAGAAGGTACCTCAATCATACTGGGTTCTTATAACGTCCTCACCATTTCCCCAATCTTCAACTCATCCCCATTTGTAAACAACTCATCATCAGTATATGTTATGGTCTTCATAATATTTCATCAGAATGTAATAACCTGTGTCTTCAGGTGGAAGCCCCCTTCATCCCTAAGTGCAAAGGCCCCGGTGACACCAGCAACTTTGACGACTACGAGGAAGAAGAAATCCGGGTCTCTTTCTCAGAGAAATGTGGAAAGGAGTTTGCTGAATTCTAGAAGCAGCAGCGGAGGAGAGGGATGGAGAGAAATTAGATGTGGGGCAACAGAGAAGAAAACGTTTTCCAGGGTGATGATGATCTGAGGACTGGACTGAGCCTTAATCGGTAACAACAACGTAGAGCCCTCAGACACAGATGAAGGGAGAAGGAAAACGTCCTAAGAGAGACGCCAGCAGTGTTGCCTTTTCAGATCCTTCGTCACTTGTTACTTGTCCATTTTCATGTTTTCCCTCTTGTTTGGTAGCCAGGGTCCATTGGGCAGAGATTCGGTCACTTCTCTGTGACTGGCTGGCATGGGTATATTTGTGACTTCTTCTTTTTTTTGTTTTTCCAGGGATATAGCGTTTACTTACTGGTACTGAATTTTGGCATCTCCAGAGAATTTATTTTTTTTTAATTAGCAAAGGTGTCCTTGCTCTGTAGTTCTCCACGCTGTCACATCATGTTTACTTCCTGTGCACCTATTGGCACCCAATACCAAATCAAACCAACTTACAACGTTCAAGAGTTCTGGCTTTTTGTTTGACGCGTCACCCATTTCTCATTTGGATCTCAAGCATCACACTACCATTCTTCAATTTTGTCATCGCATATTAATTGCCTAGAGTGCTCTAAGATCAGGCAGAATCAGCCGCTTAGTGTAAAGATTGTTGATTTGGATCATCATTCGTCATTCTCTAGATCATTTAGTGTATTTTAAGCCAGTATGTTTGTATTTAAGCCAATAGAATGTGCTTTGGGTTGAAAGTGGCCACTGAAAAGACCGTAACACTACTTTAAATTACACATCGGTAGCATGTAAGCATACTTGAAGCTCCAAATCCATTATTTTACACGTGTTCGCAGATGGCTTTGATTCTAAGATACAGTTCCAGAGATAAACTAACAAAAATCCGAACTGAAGGAATACAATGAATTAACAGCGAGCACAAAGGCTTGTAATACAGCTGGTTGTTTTTAAAAATATGCTTTTAAAGGAAAACGTTAAAGGAGAGCACTGTTTCTGTGGTTACACTGGGTTCCTGATGGATGTTTTTTTTGTTTGTTTTATTATTATTATTATTTTCTGCCGTGTCGCCTGCTGGTGACCAAACCCTTTGTTTAATTGAACAGTCTGGTATTTTTAATTATCCTTACCGACAATAAGAATAATCTTCTCCTGACATGAAAGTTGTTTGAAAATTAGGCCGATTTCCAATACGTTTTAACTCTCTAAGGCTTGACTAATCAATCTCCATTTCTGCTTCAAATAAGCTTGTTGTTCATGTCGACTTTATTGTGTGCTATTAAGATATCGACCAGTTAGTGAAGGTCCATTCGGTCGTCCGACGAACTGATCAAAATTTGTTCGCTTTCTATCTTGCTCTGTAACTTTGTTGGATGCAAGACAATCTAAACGCAAAAGTCCCCATGATTATTATGTTGTTGTTGTTGTTTAGTTTCCAGAAGTGTGCAGTAATGTGTAGTGTGTTGCATAGATTTTATTTCGTTATGCTTAAAAAGTTTCGCGTCGATGAATATTTAATTAGATTGTAAAGGTAAAGTGTAACTTCTGGCTCCAATAGTGGCACCAAACTGAACCGCAGTCTGTTTGAGTAACAGAAAGGACATAATATATTAGAATTGATCAAAGTCGTTATTTTTGTGATTTTTTTTTGTTTTTTGCTGCTGCTAGTGACGCAGAATTGACACGCTTCACCTTTAAAACTGAGATGCCCACCATCGCTTATAGCTCAGTCCTTCAGGAATTGGCTGTTCTTTAGGTGCTGATTTCAAAATAGTGCAAAGTCGATTTTTGGTTTGTTTGTTTTGGTTTGTTATTTCACGTTAAGTAATGTAACTTAATTTTGTTGAATGTGTGCGAACTACAGATTGGTGCCAGGTTAAAATTGGTATTTCAAACAACTCTTTTAATAACAGAAGTATCGATTGGAAACTGAACGGCTTTAATGCCATTTAAATTGCAGTATGAGATCAAATTACTGTTCTTTTCCCTCTTGGGAAATGTCATGTCAATGTATTCTGCCAGATTCACAGCCAAAACACACCGGATTGGGTCCGTTTTTGATCATTCGGGTGCTGATGTAGCTTTAGAAACATAGACGAGCAAAGGGCATGAGTTTATATTTCACAAAACATGATGGTAGGTTTGATTTTCTCTCCCTCATTCTTCTCCCTGCATTCCTAGGTTTTGCTGGGACATTTTCTTGCCCCATTTCTGGAGACTTTGTCATAAAATGGTTGTACAAACAGGAGAAACAGCTCCATCTCTTGGTCTGAATAGCTGGAGAACAAAACAATCAGTGTTTAAAGAATGCGTCTGTACGTTTAGATTACCCAGCGGGCTCTTCTGCGCTGGTCTCGTGATGCTAGAAGCAACGTAAGACTATCCTCAACTGGTGTACGGAGTTATAATGTACAGGTTGGCGTCACGTGAGCTTTTTTCCTCATCTTTGAGCTCGATCGTGACATGGAAGGGTTCTGTTTAAAGCATCACCGTTTTACAGTGACTTTTTGGGAAATTATGGCTCAAATGCACCTTTCATTACACCTTTTTTTTGTCAGAGCATGGAAAAATGTGACATTTTTGGCGGTATTCATATGTCGTCCCTCTATGTCTGGGTCCCGTCCCTTCCTTTCAGATACATGGGTGTCTCACATCCTTCAGTCTGTTCATTCACATCGTCAGTCATCTTTTTGTGTGTGTGTGTGTGCGCATCAGTCCATTATACAGTTTGCCTTTGTACACATCCAGTTTCCTACACACTTCTATTTGCTTTTTAAAAAAAATCATGGAGAAAACATTTGATTTACTTTTGCATATTTTCTAAGTGTATTTTCAATAACAGGAGTCTCTTTCCTCCCGACATGGGTATAGTGATGGTGTAGTTTATTGTACCTTCTCGGGAAACAATACTGTATATTCTCTACCTTTAACAGTCTTAATTATTTTACCTTCTGGAGAAGTTGACGGATACCCGTAGGACACATCGAGTATGTTTAAAAAAAAAAATACACAATAATATTTTGCAACATGTATCATTCCAATAAAGTTTTAATTGTTAAAGTTACAAAAATGTGGTGACGTCTTAAATGTTATTGTTCTGAATTTTGATTTATCTGTCACAGGACATTTAACAGCACAGAAAAGGAAAAAATTAAAATAGATATACATATACAGTATCTCACAGATGTGAGTACACCCCTCACATTTTTGTAAATATTTTATTATATCTTTTCATGTGACAACACTGAAGAAATGACACTTTGCTACAATGTAAAGTAGTGAGTGTACAGCTTGTATAACAGTGTAAATTTGCTGTCCCCTCAAAATAACTCGAGACACAGCCATTAACGTCTAAACCGCTGGCCACAAAAGTGAGTACACCCCTAAGTGAAAATGTCCAAATTGGGCCCAAAGTGTCAATATTTTGTGTGGCCACCATTATTTTCCAACACTGCCTTAACCCTCTTGGGCATGGAGTCATACACACAGGTGTTCGCGGGGTCTTAAAAAGTATTAAAAAGTTGATAAATCAATTTAAAGAAAATTAAGGCCCTTAAAAAGTATTAAAGTCTTAAATGCCATTTTCCAAGGCATTAAATTCTGTATCATCTTTTCATTGTATATTTGTCGAATAGTGGGGTTCTGTGTAGTTTATTTATGGAATCCCGCAAGATTTGAGTTCATCTGTTAAGGCGCTCACTGACTGACTGCGCCGCTGCGTGATAGCGCGGGGCTTGTTGATCCCGCTCCCGCTGAATTTCTGACCATTACCGCACGCTCCCACATCCTTCGATAAAAGATATTTGTCAATGAGCTCGGGATCTGTTGAGGAGCAAATCCTCCAACATCTTGTCGGTTACCTCTCCTTACTTTTGACCCATGATTAGTCAAATCTGACTTCTGCAGCTCGTGTTGGATGCAGGATTGTTATTGTTTTTTTCCATGAAATTTGGCTGCTTTTAAACTGTTGCCATTGGTTGATTTTCCCCAGTGGGTTAAAGGTTTGAAATATTGCATAAATTACATTTGGTTGAAATGCTTGTACTGAAACATTTTGCATTCTACCTGTAATAAAACTGCTAAATGTTTTGGGCCACACTAGTAGGAAGCATTTGAGCTGTGTTTATGATAAATGTGCATAACAGTGAGTGTAAAATATGTATTTTAGGGATGGAAATTACATTTTTTATATTTGGGACATGGTAATTGCGCTACTTTGGACTGTTTTTTTTACTGGCATGGGCTTGGGATGCACAATTAAAATGATGTAATAGTTGTGATCATTATTTTACCTTCCATGATCATTCAGACACGATCAGGTGCAGTACTGACACTCTGTCAAGTCTGCATCAAATCAAGCACTCCGTAATCACAGGTAAACTGTCTGATCAGTCAGATGTTTGTCTTGAGAAGTGTTCCACAAAACAGCTATGGTTTGCAGACAGTTATAAGAGTTGATGTGACAAATAGTTTTGCTCGTTTTGGGTTTTTTTTTTTTTTTTTTTTTACTGGCATGGCCTTGGGATGCACAATTAAAATTATGTAATAGTTGTGATCAATATTTTCCCTTCCATGATCATTCAGACTTGATCAGTTGCAGTACTGACACTCTGTCAAGTCTGCATCAAATCAAGCACTCCGTAATCACAGGTAAACTGTCTGATCAGTCAGATGTTTGTCATGAGAAGTGTTCCACAAAACAGCTATGGTTTGAGTTGATGTGACAAATACATCTTTTGAATATACTCTGTGATCTCATTGCCCCATTAGCTCGGAGAGCTTTATTTTCCCTCCTCAATAAGTTTTGTCAGTTGTTTTGTTTATTGGTCTTTTGGGCTTTTTTCTTTTTTTTTTTACTGGCATGGGCTTGGGATGCACAATTAAAATGTAATAGTTGTGATCATTATTTTACCTTCCATGATCATTCAGACATGACCAGGTGCAGTACTGACACACTGTGAAGTCTGCATCAAATCAATCACTCCGTAATCACAGGTAAACGGTCTGATCAGTCAGATGTTTGTCATGAGAAGTGTTCCACAAAACAGCTATGGTTTGAGTTGATGTGACAAATACATCTTTTGAATATACTGTGTGAACTCATTACCCCGTTAGCTTGGACAGCTTTATTTTCCCTCCTCAATAAGTTTTTTCAGTTGTTTTGTTTATTGGTCTAATTCTTGTTTCTTGGGTTGCATTGGTTAGTCACTCAATTAATTGAGAAGGGTCTGGCTGCAGACTTGCACTTGCACTCTCAGACACTTGCGCTTCTGCAATTGACATAACAAAAAGAATAAATAAATAGAACAAAATAAAAAAATAAAGCCTGCAACTGACGTTGCTAGCGGAAGTGCAAGTGTCTGAGAGTGCAAGTCTGAGAATGCAAGTCTGAGACTGCAAGTGCAAGGCTGCAGCCAGACCCTTTTGAATTAATTCTCTTAGTAAGTCTGTTTAGTTGTGCTATCTTACAATCAATATATAGTAAGTTATGTATAGTTATGTATGTACAATCAATATATTAAGTTAAGTTATATGTAAGTTATGTATCGGCAATGTAACCAGTTAAAACTTGGAGTGGCGTATATAACATGAACATTTATCTGAAATTTTCACATCCTGTTCCACAATTGGGACATTCACAACAAATGAATGTTTTTTTTTTGTTTTTTTTGTAATAATCAAATGTAAAATAACTGCATAATCTTCACTGTATAAATTAAATATAGATTAATCTTTTTTTTGATGTTACAAAGGTTATTTAGTCAGGAGCAGTGAGCACTTGTATTTTTCTTTGACAGCATTAGATGTATTATTAGTTTGCTTTCACTTTAAGAACGAAGCACTGTTTTAAAGGGGTCCTA